AATAGAATTAGGAGATTATATTATACTTGACCTAAAACAATTCCTGAGCAGGTTTCTCAGCACACAGCCTCCGTGCTCTCTGTCTCAGATAATAATTAAACGTTTTTTGGAATAAATATGACTTTTTTTTTTCTATCGACCTTCAAATAAAACCAAAATTCATGAACTGTTGTTTTTTTCTCTCTCTCTTTATTTATTTATCTGTTTTATCATTATTCTCTTCTCTATTTTCTTACGTTTTATTTGTTTATTTCAATTCTCGTCGATAACAAATTCGCCTAACAATCGAACAAGTACACAATTACTTCGTTTCCCTCTAACTGACAAGAAAGATAACAATCACGCTGGTTAACTTCCTAAAAATAACTGATATTGATTCTCTCTCTCGCTGATGGCCAACCAAACGAACCACTGATAACTGATAACTAATGCTAACTAATAACTAACTAATAACTAATAACTAACTAATAACTGATAACTAACTAACTGATAACTAATCACTGATAACAAGATAGTACAAGATAGTACTCACGCTGATCGGCCATGAGACAGTCCTCGTCGGTGGGACAGAGCCACCACGTAGGCCTCAGCATGGGGGAGGGACCGAGGTTAGTCTGTGACGCAAGTTCGAGGAGGTAGGGCGTGTGTTCGGCGTGAAGGGCCGTCACAGCGCGGGTCAGTTCCGTTACCTGAGAAAGAAGAGGGAAAGAGAGAGAGAGAGTGAGAGGGGAGGGGTAAATTGTGATGTAGTGAGATGAGGGGAGAACAGGATTCCGGAGGGGGGAAAAGATTAGATCGTAGGGAAGGGAGGGGGGTGAGGGAGAGGGAGAGGGAGAGGCGCTGAAAGAAGGAGAGGTAGGGTGACTTGGGCAGAGAGAGAGAGAGAGAGAGAGAGAGAGAGAGAGAGAGAGAGAGAGAGAGAGAGAGAGAGAGAGAGAGAGAGAGCAAAAGAGATAGATAGATAGATAGATAGATAGATAGATAGATAGAGAGAGAGAGAGAGCAAAAGAGATAGATAGATAGATAGAGAGAGAGAGAGAAAGCAAAAGAGATAGATAGATAGATAGAGAGAGAGAGAGAGAGAGAGAGAGAGGGAGAGAAAGAAAGAGAGAGAGAGAGATAGATAGATAGATAGATAGATAGAGAGAGAGAGAGAGAGAGAGAGAGAGAGAGAGAGAGAGAGAGAGAGAGAGAGAGAGAGAGGGGTGTATTAGGACAGGGAGATGGAGAGGAAGAGACTGGATTAGAGAGAGGGAAGGGAGATGGAGAGAGAAAAGGGAGACAGACATGCAGAACTGTCAGAGGGACAGGTAACACATGTAATTAAATACTGCAGGGAGAGGGGCGCTGGAGAATGGAGATCGGCGAGGTGTGAAAAACTATATTGGACATGATAAAGCATTCAGGAAACGTAATATTCATGACTAAAAAACAAGGCAGTTTGTACATAAAAGGAAAGATAAATTATCCCAAAACTATTATATCATAATTCACACATTCCCCAAAAGACAAGACTATAACTGTGACAAAAGTTATTCATTTATTCTACAACCCGAACCTACCAAAAATGATACAACACAACATAAAGGCATTTAATTTTCTTAAATATGAGAGTACAGTTTATCACCCCGTTGCAACAAATAGAATTAGGAGATTATATTATACTTGACCTAAAACAATTCCTGAGCAGGTTTCTCAGCACACAGCCTCCGTGCTCTCTCTCTCAGATAATAATTAAACGTTTTTTGGAATAAATATGATTCTTTTTTTTTCTATCGACCTTCAAATAAAACCAAAATTCATGAACTGTTGTTTTTTTCTTTCTTTCATTCTTTATCTGTTTTTGTATTAACTCGTTTACTCATATATCGCCTTTATTATCTTATTTATACGTCTGTCTTACCTGTGTGTTGCATAAGTGACAAGTCGATCAACCACCATAACTGTTTATCTATTTGAATATCTATATATATTTTTTTTACTTGAAGTTACTATTTGCCTATATATCTACCAAGTGTAATTTGATTATTAATCTATCAAAAAAGGATAACAATAATAACAAAAAATGATAATCATAATGACAATAATAACGCTATTAACAACAAAAACAACAATGACCCCTCTACAAACAACACCAAACAACAACGACTTACAAAAAACAAAATGCAAAAACAAAAAACTAAAAAAAATGAAATAACAATAGGAGAGTCTCACCTGCTCATCATCGAAGTCCCAAGGCAGCAAAGAAAACTGGAGACTGGGCATGAAAGTGTTTGCCTGAGCCCACCTGACAAACAATTCTGCGCTTGGTTTGATGACATATGCGTTGCCTCCGATCATGTCGGGCAAGACGAACGGGTAGCCGAG